CAGCAGGAAAGCCTACCCCTTCACTTTTACTGTGATTACTTACAGTTTTCAACTTATTTGTATCTGTCTTTCCCCTTCTAAGTTTCCTCTTTTTTTTTTGAGCTTTACTGAGGTATAATGGACATTTTTTTTCTCCTCTTCTGAATTCTATTTTGTTGGAGGACTGGGTTGATTTTTGTTCGTTTGGATTTTTGTTTGTTGTTTCTGTCTCATTCCATTTTTTCCTATGGATTTGGAATTTACAAACTATTTCTACTGTTTTAGCAATGACTTTTACAATTTTATCATGCATATTTAATTTAACAAAGTATAAAGTTTATCCACATTTAAACCTCTTTTTCAAATATGAGGACCTTAGAATCCTCTCTAAACATTTTTTAAAGTAGGTTTTACATGCACACGATAGACCTGATATCCTTGATATTCACCCTTCCTGACTCCATTTGGTATGGTCCCTGTTTATCTTCTTATGCCCACACAGCAGACTTATATTAAGAGGCAGGATAGAATAAAGGCCAGCGGTACAGCCTCGGACCCAGACACCTGGACTCAAATCCCAACTGTCACTGCTCTGTGCCTCAGTTTCCTCAGCTATACTACATACACCTACATTGGACTCAGAATTAAATAATCTACTACAGACCCAAAACAGTGCTCAGAACCTGAAGAGGGTAGCTCTAAGGATTATTTTACAGAGGTAATTTTTGTTTACACCAAGGATTCCCAGCCTTGCCCCTCCTGACACCTTGGGCCAGACAACGCCGTGCTGTGGGGGCTGCCCTGTACACGAAGATGCTCAGCAGCATCTCTGGCCTCTGCTCACTGGAGGCCAGCAGCAGCATCCCCCCCGCCACCAGCTGTAACAGCCAAACTGTCTCCACATATTGCCAAACACCCACCAGGGTGCAAAAACGCTGAGAATCACTAGCTTAGATTTGTGCGTGTTTATGCCCTTATATGGAAAATGTTCCTTCTCCCATTTACACCTGGCATCTTGGGAAGGATGGTCTGAGAGGTAAGAGGAAATGGTGAGGGGAAAAAAAAGTATGCCCTTAAAAACTTTTAGTGAAGGTCTCCTCGGCTTTGTTGGCAGCTCTGTGCTCAAGGCTCTAACAACCTCTACTGTCTTCTTGACGCTATCACCAAGTCTGCTGAGTCTGCTTCTCGCTCCTTGACAGAAATGGCTGTTTCTGAGATAGTCTTCTGGCCTTTGGTGTCCTGCTGTTTCACAACAGGTTGGGGCATGGATGCCTTATTTAACCTGTGTGGTCCACTTGGCTTTCATCGGCCATCGTCTCCTCACACCCTCTGTGCTTCCATCTGCACTTAGATGCCCATCAGACTTCCTGATTTCATGCTCCACGTTTCTCACCCTCCTGTTCCTGAGGCCTCTTCTCTAGGCTACGTTCTAGGTAACGTCTTCAAATGTAGCTTCTAGTTCAAACTCTTTCTTCAGCTGTATCTAATCTGTTTATTCATCCACACTTTCCTCTTTCAATGACTTCTCATCTCTACAAGTTCTACTTGGTTACTTTTCAAATCTATTTGGTCACTCCTGATACAGTATCACAGTGTTCGTTCATTTGGAAGTCCAACCTTTATTTTTTTAAGCACCCCAAGGCCATATCTAACAATGGCTATGTCCTGGGGCATCTCCCCATCTGGTGATTGTTTCTGCTCCTCCTTGAGGTGTGTCTGCTTCCTTCCATGCCTGCTGATTTTGTGTGCTCAATGACTGACCCTGATCTGCAATTCTCACAGGGCTAAACTGGGAGCACCCTCCTCCAATCCACCCCGGGCTCTGGCGGAGCTGGGGGATGCCAAGGGCCCTGGCACAAATCCTGGACGGAGGGAGCCCAGGATTGCTTTCCCCCACCTTGCAGCGTGCCAAGGCATAGCAGGGCAAAGAGCTGCCCCTACCTTCTGCCAGCCCAACAATCCAAAACACAGTCTACACAGAAGGAGAGAGGGCTCCTCAGCAACAGCCAGAAATATGGCTTATTTTTAAAGTAGGTTCTACATGCACATGATATAAAATTCAACAAGGAAACAAAAGAGTATAGAGTTTAAAAGTATCCTGTACCTCAGCCCCAGCCTTATCCACAGTCAGCAGTGTGTGTTTCCTGTGACTAACCCAGGTCACCTGGAGATGCACAGCAGGCTCTGGGCTGCCCTTTGCGAGTCCTCTGACCCAGGACCTACACTCTGGGGGCGTGGAACTAAGGTCCGAAGCAGTCTTCATCACAAAGTGGTGTTTGGAGGTGTCAGAAAAGGGTAGCAACTACCCATCAGCACTACACTTATTTCAGGTAGACCAGGCCACCAGAGGTCACAGGCAGGGAGGGTGGGTCTCTGTAGAGGCAGCAGCAGGACATGAGAGTAGAGACCACTTTAACTTCCCCTGGTGCCACACAGGAGACCAAGCCCCTCGGAAGCTGAAGACAGGATATGGGCCAAGGTTGGACTAGGGAGGGTGCAAGACAGCCCACCAAAGCTTCACTGCTGAACTGACAGTCTCAGGAGTCAGACTGCAAAACATTCTAAACTCATACAGCTTAAAACTATTTTTTATTATAAAATCTAAGTTTGTGATAAAAAAGAAATTCAACCAGTGCACCCGAGTATAACATGAAAAGGAGCCAGAGCATCCTTCTGAAAGCTGCCCTGCCTCTGTGTGTGTGTGTGTGTGTGTGTGTGTGTGTGTGTGTGAGAGAGAGAGAGAGAGAGAGAGAGAGAGAGAGAGCGAGAGATATTAGTCAGGGTTCTCCAGAGAAATGGGACCAATCAGAGTAGGATCGGGAGAGAGAAGGAGAGAGAGAGAGAGAGAGAGAGAGAGAGAGAAAGACAGGTGCGCTGACAAGAGGGGACCTGGGAGCTCGAGATGAAGAACCAACCACTGAGCCAAGTGTCAGACGGCAAGACGTCAGTAAGGAAGAGAAATGAAGCTCTGGGAGGAAGGGGGTGTCTGGGGACAGAAGGTGCCAGTTCAGGAGTGGGTGGGACTGAGGCTGCATGTGGCCTCTGGGAAGGGCAAGGTGACCCGGACACAGGGAACCCAATGAAGAACAGGGTGCTCAAGGCCGCGGCTGCCCTCATCACAGGGTTCCTAAGAGGGACACGAGACAGAATACATGAGAACAACACAACATGTACACAAGCATTCACAGTGGCTTTAGTTTAACAGCCCAAACTGAAACAACCCATATGTCCTTCAAGGGTGAGCGGATAAGTAAACTGTGCGTGGCCCAGCCAGTCCAGGGAATATTACTCAGCAGCGAACAGGAAGGAATTACCAACACCACCTGGAGACTCCCAAGGGCGTCAGGCCGAGTGAAAAAAAGCCAGTCTCAGCAAGTCAAATATTGCACGATTCTATTTATGCAACATTCGCAAAATGACACAATTACCAAGGCGGAGAACAGATCAGCAGCTGCCGGGCTTTGGGTTGGAGGGAGGGTGTGATTATTAGGAGGCACCAGGACAGCCTGTTGGTGGTGACGGTTCCACATGCTGACTCCATTCCACATGTGATAAGACCTCACAGAACCACACACATGCACGCGCATGCGCAAGAGTGCATGCAAAGACTGGTCACATGTGAATAAAGTCTGCCTGAGTTGACAGCACTGTCGTGGTTTTGGTGATGTACTAGGATGTTTTTGTTGGGGAAGCTGGGGGAAGGGCACATGGGAGCTCTGTGCTATTCTGCAACTTCCTGTGACTCTTCAACTATTTCAAAAATAAAAAGTTACATAAGGGGAAAAAAGTACTGAAGCACTTAGCAGTACTAGATAAAAGTCTACAAGCATAAATGTCCATCAAGAAGGTCCTGGGGGACTACCCTGGTGATGCAGTGGTTAGGAATCCGCCTGCCAATGCAGGGGACATGGGTTTGAGCCCCGGTCTGGGAAGATCCCACATGCCGCGGAGCAACTAGGCCCGTGCGCCACAACTACTGAGCCTGCGATCTAGAGCCCGCGAGCCACAACCGCTGAGCCCGCGTGCCACAACTACTGAAGCCCACGCGCCTAGAGCCCATGCTCCGCAACAAGAGAAGCCACTGCAGTGAGAAGCCCACACACCGCAACAAAGAGTAGCCCCCGCTCAACGCAACAAAGAGTAGCCCCTGCTCGCCGCAACTAGAGAAAGCCTGTGCACAGCAACGAAGACCCAACACACCCAAAAATAAATAAATAATTTAAAAAAAAAAGAGAGTCCTGGGACAGAGGCAGCTGGCGCTGCAACCCTGCTCCTGGCCCAAGCAGTTGTGCGGAGGGTCAGGCGCCGCCTTTGGGAGGGGAATGAGGATGCGAGCCACAGCCTGGGCGGCCTGGGGCCAGGGCAGCCCTGGAAGGGACAGATGGAGCTTCGCTGCTGAGGACACCCTGAGACGGAGCTGTTTCTATCTTGACTACAAAGTACAGCCCCTTGGATGGAGTCCCAGGTCACCCCATCCTCCTCCAAGTCCTCCCTCAGCCTGGGCAAGAGGGCCTCAGTGTCCCTCGCCCTCTGGGAGGCAGAGCAGGCTGGAGCTTCCCCAGCTCCTCTCGCCCCCTCACCACCCCCACCCCCGGCTGGGAAGAGAACACGCCGCCTGTGGAGAGAGCGGCAGGTTCTCTGAGAAGCGTGGTACTCACTCTGCGGAGCGGCCGTGGACACGACGGCCATGCCATGGGGGGCCATCCCCGAGGTGCCAGGAGGTGGCTGCCCCGAGAGTGGCATCGGCTGCCCCATGGCCCCCAGGCCGCCCATCCCGCCCAGGGGCTGGCCGGGGCCCCGAGCAGGTAGGCCAATGCCGGCTGCTCCCGCGGCGGGCCCGCCAGTCCGGCTCTGCAGCGCATTCATAGGGTCTGCGGGGCACAGGGTGCAGCGTCTCAGGGCAGTGTCTGCCAAACCAGGCCAGGCTCCGTGGGCCATAAGACCTTCCCAGGCACACGCTTCCTCCCACCTCCAGGCTCGACACCCTCAGTGTCCCAAATGGTGAGCGGCCGGAGTCCCGAGAGTCCCCCAAGCCCCGGCCCAGCTGCACACCACACCCCAGGGGCTGCGACACCTCCTAGGCAGGGAGCACAGTCCACACCCTAGCCTAGCCTATGCCAGGTCCTGACAGACTCCAAGGGACGAGCAAGCCCTCTGTGACAGGCGGTGGCCCCACCCCTCCTGGCCATAGGCCCCTCCTGCTGGGTGAGACACAGCTGGGAATCCAGAGAAAACAAGGGTCAAGGGCTCTTCACGGTAAGCTGAGCCTGGGGCCAGAGAAGAGGGGGCAGGAGTAGATGTCCCAGGGAGGTTACAAGTCCCCTTGTGCATCAGAAGCCCATCTCTGCTAAGTCTGGGCAGGACCCCACTGAGGAGCAGTTCTCAGGAAAGACCCCTGAGAACAAGGGTGTGTGGCAGGGGTCCGCAGATGCTCGCCAGCTGAGTGAGTAATGCCAGGGCCTGGGGCAGAAGCCAGAGGCTCTTGTTATAACAGCAAAGAGCCACCTGCAGGCAGGTGTGGCCTGGCCGGCTCACCCTGCCACAGAACCGAGCGAACACACACATTCTCCTGGCCAAGCACTCTTGATACACACCCCCACCCCCACCCCCTGGCCCTGGCTGGCCAACAATCGCTGCACAAGCCAAGAGACCCCAGACAGGTGCAGCCAGCTCGGCCAAGGCAAGCCTGGGCATGCGGCATGTGCCGCCGACAGTAAGACAAACAGCCTGCCAGGGTGGCTCCCTGCCCGGCAGTCGGAGTTTAGTTGGCCACTGGGATCTGCTAAACCCCTTCACTGGCAGCTCACTCAGCGAGACCTAGGCTAAATCAACAGGGTTCCCATGAGATAAAACCTTGAAATTAAAAAATAAAAAAGAATGATAATTCTTAACTTACAAAGAAACTTTGTAACTTAAGAAAGTGAATTCATAGTTATTCTCTAAATGCTACTACAGATTATTATGCTGAGCACAGCATTATACCATACTAGTTCTCTCCCAGAGAGCTCAAAATTTTAGATAATATTCAATAATCGTGTGAGTTTTCATCATTTTGTTTGCGGGAGGAATGGGATGGGGTGGTATCGTCCAACTCCACGGTCACCAGGAGGAGGGTGCCTGGTGGGCCAGGAGCTGGCAGTTCTCAGGAACCCGAGGTTGTCTCTCCAGGAACCTCTTCCTCCAGTAACAGCTTAACCCCAGGCACACGCAGCACCCACCATCCCACTCCTGCTATTCTGTAGCCAAGGTTGGGAAAAACTTTAATTCCAAAAGGAGAAACTCTTACCACTGACAGAAGCTTGTGATTTCTTGTTATCTATATATGAAAGAAAAAAAAAAAAAAGAAGAAACCAAAGTAAACAAAGTTTTTCTGTAACCATATATTTCCACGCTAAGTCAGTGCTGAAGGCATTCGCCCAGAGGTCATTTGCTAACACTGAGCTGACCCTGCCTAGAAACTAGACAAAACATATCTCAGAGTTTCAGAGAGTGTGTGTGTGTGTGTGTGTGTGTGTGTGTGTGTGTACATGTGTGAATACATGTATGTGTCCCACCCCTGGCAGCATTGACACACAAGGAGGCTGGGAGCGAGAGGGTGCAGAACCACCCCACAGTCAACCTGGGCCCTGGAGAACAGCCCTCAGGTGGAGGCTGGTGCTGGGTCTCCTCTAGTTCCCTCCTTCCCAGGCCGGGGCTCTTAGCACAGACCCTGAGCCACAAACAAGAGCGCTTCAGGGATCTACGTTGGGCCCACAACACCTCCATTTTCAGCCCACTCTGGTGAGGGAGGCAGCATCCCCATTTTCTGGATGAGGAAACTGAGTCTGTCCAAGGCTGGTTAGAAGCCAGATCCAGCCAGCCCCAGGACGGGCGGGGAACTGCCACAACAGTTCCAACCTCTGCCAGGGGTGAGGCAGTTGTGGGTGCCCCCGCCAAAGGGTTTTGTGCACTGCCGTGCCAGGGCCAGCTCCCAAATGGGCCAGCCAGCCCGAAAGGCCGAGCCCTTGCCAGTACAGACGGGGTCACGGCCAGGCTGCTCATGCCCCAGGCTTCTAGTGGCGGCTCCTCTTGTTCCAAACACCATGGGTCCTTCCCAAACACAGCAAAGAAAGTGAAATCAAGTGAGGTTCATCTTGCTGGCCAGTCTGGTAAAAAGTTAGTGTGGAAAGAAGCAATGGCCCTGCAAGGACTCTGGGGTCCCCAATGTCTCCCTCTGAGATGAGTGACGCTGATGCCACAGCTGTCTCAACAGCCACAGGGAGCAGCCACCCCATGGACAGGCTGCGTGGGAGGAACCTGCCTCCTGTGGTCACACCACTGCAGGCCGGCAGGAGGCGCTGTGGCTGTAACCACGCCCCACCCACCCCCACCACCACCACCACACACACACACACCCCGCGCAGCAGCCAGCGGCCCTGAGCAGCCCTGACCCGGAGAAGAGGAACTGGGATGCTGCGGGGCTGGGCCCTCACCAGGGCAGGGAGTGCAGGGTGGCGCTGAGAAAGCTGGCCCCAGAAGCTTCCAGCCTGATGGGAACACAGTTAGGTCCAGCCTCCATGGGTCAAAAAAACCAGGCATCAGGGAAGGAAGTGTCTATTCCAGGGTGGACTCTGCTTATTCAGGAACTGCCTAGAGATCAAAGCAGCAGTCCTTCAAAAAGGGAGATTAAGCAGACAAGCAAAGAGAGCAGTCCAGCCCAGACCACTTGGACACTAACATCTCCATTAGGCCACAATCAGCACGTTTCAGGCTGAGGCTCTGGGAGGATGGGAAACATGGAATCAAATGCGAAGCCATGAAGAACTTCCCAGAAAGCAGGCGCTGTCCACAGACATCCTGCCTCAGGCACTGGGGCCGAGACTGGCCGGGCTCTCACGGCGACCACAACCACCCAGAGATGTGATGTTTTACTTACGGATGTCTCGAAAATGGATAATGAGCCTGGCCACGAGAGAAAGGTATTCATCCTAAAAGCAAAAACAGGAAGCAGTTTAATCCCAGACGCAGAAGTGAGGCCAAGTGACGCCCCTTCCCGCCCTGGCCCTGCTGCGCTCCTCCTGAAGGCAGGGATGGCAGCCATCCCCGTCTGTCTGTCCCTGTCTGTCTGTGTTCGTCCTGCTTGGCTCGGCCTCCTCTGGAATCCATCCCTCTGGGAAAGGCCGGCAGAGCTCGGCTACCACAGAACAACAAAAGGCACAAAGAAACAGAAAACCAAGAAGGTACCAAGACACTAGAAGACGCTGCTCCCCTGCCCTGCTGTAAACCCTGGCGAGGGCCACGGTGGGCTCAGGCACCCGTCTTTCTGCAGAGGGGCTGGCCTGGGGTCACAGGGCATCTCAGAAGTAGACACAGGAGGGCCGCTTTTGTCTTTGCTCCATTTGTACCAAAGTACTTTCGCTTTTCACACCGGCCTGTTGCTTTTCCACTGCTGACGTCATATTTGCATGCAAATCTGGCTGGGCGCCCTGGCTGTGCTTTCCCCAGCTCCCACTGATCTGAATTCACTGCACGGCCCAGGGAGGGGGCACAGTGCCGCTCAAGGAAGCAGGTGAAGGCCACTGCCCAGGGCCCTCTTGGTTCTCGCTGTGTTTCTGGAACCTCCTAGCAGGGCCTGCCTTCCACCATTTGTCCTCTTTGTAACCAAGGACACTCACTCCAGGGGTTCTGGGGAAATTACTACTGTGAGTTTGTCTTGGGGTCAAAGAAGGGATGTTTGTAACTAAAATCTTATTTCAGAGAAGCTGGATCATCTTTCTGGCAAGGCAGGCAGAAAGGGCAGAGCTTTCACCCCACCTGCTCACTTGACCCCTGCCTAAATTACCATGACACTGAGTCCACTCAACAGCAGCCAGAGGAGACGACCCCTGCAGCCCAGGACCCACCACAGGGGACAGCCCGTGAACCTGGGACAGACAGTGAACCTGCCGTCACCAGAACACCTCCAAGGGAAACACATGAAGGGGGCCTCAGACGAATGTTAACAACATAAGCACACTTTGTAACCCCCATCAGCCCTCACTGATCTCAAACTTCACCCACCACTGTTTTCTCAGCCATGGAATCAGCAGAGGAAAACGTGGGGGAAAGGCCCAGGGAGGCCACGGGGCAGGTACCAAAGGACAGGACACATGGGAGATGTGTTCAACACTCCCCCTCCCAATGCCCCCCACAAATTTCTGGGAGGAAAAGGATCCCACCGATCACCTGACCAGGCTGGTCCTTGAAGGACAACAGGGTGGTGAGTGGGGCGCAAGGAAAATGGGGGCTAAAGGAAGCTCCGAAATGAGGTGGCCAAGGACGGGGAGCTTGCCAGGTCAAGAGCTGACGTCTCAGTAAGGGCTTGGCCATCTTTTGGGTCGGAGAAATCTTAAAAGAATTTGTTGAGCTTTTTCTACTTCCATAAAAGGTGAAGCAAGAGGAAGCAGGTTTAAAAAGCAACCATATCATTAAAAAGTCCACAAAAAACAAATGCTGGAGAGTTTGGAGAAAAGGGAACTCTCCAACACTGTTAGTGGGAATGTAAACTGATGCAGCCACTATGGCAAACAGTATGGAGGTTCCTCAAAAAACTAAAAATAGAATTACCATAATGATCCTGCAATCCCACTCTTGGGCATATATCTGGAGAAAACTCTAATTCAAAAATATACGTGCCCCCCTATGTTCACATCAGCACTATTTACAATAGCCAAGACATGGAAGCACCTAAGTGTCCACTGACAGATGAATGGATAAAGAGAATGTAGTATGTATATATATAATGGAATATTACTCAGTCATTAAAAAGAATGAAATAACGCCATTTGCAGCAACATGGATGGGCCCAGAGATTGTTATACTAAGCGAAGTAAGTCAGACAAATACCATATGGTATTACTTATATGTGGAATCTAAAATATGATAAATGAATTTATCTATGAAACAGAAACAGACTCATGGACATACAGAACAGAGTTGTGGTTGCCGGGGGTGGGGGGTGCTAGGGGAGGGATGGACCGGGAGTTTGGGGTTAGCAGATGCAAACTATTATATACAGAATGGATAAACAACAAGGTATAGCACAGGGAACTATATTCAATATCCTGTGATAAACCATAATAGAAAATATACATATGTATAACTGAATCACTTTGCCGTAAGGAAAAAACACAACATTGTAAATCAACTATACTTCAGTTATAAAACAAAACAAAACCAGTAACCAGATATTTTACTCCGACACAAGATACAGTAAATGGGGCTCAGGAGCATGTCCCCAAAGCCCTTGGCACAGAACCAGGACCGAGTGCTTGGAGCCAGGTGGGCACAAGGCACCCATGGTCTGCGCCCACTGAGGCTGCCCACATCCCAGTGCAGCAGAGGCTCTGGGGACCAGACCAGCATGAGGAGGCCTGAAGGGGACGGAGGGGGGCAGCAACCACCTGACAGGAGAAGTGGGCACAGGGAGTGGTCAGTCACACTGCCACCAAGGGGCGCTCTTGTGGGTAAATAAATCACCCAGCACGTTGAGGGTAGAGCGCTTCAGTCCTGCTGACCTGATCCTCCTCTGACTTCCCAGGGCAGCTGCCTTACTCTATGTCTAGACTGGCTTCCCTGGGCGTGAGAGTTCCCATCCTCCATGCAGAGAGGTTATGACCCCTCTTCTGCTCCAAGGCACCCCCGCTCCAGGACAGTCCCAGAAATGGGCCGAGGAGCGTGTACCTCCCTTATCTTCACTCCATCTTTATCATCTCCCCCTCCTGACAGCAAAAATACAAGCATCCAGGCTGGGTACGGCCAGAGCACAGCAGTGACAGTTCACATGCCGCACTGACTCCGGGCCAGGCACAGCTCTGAATGCTTTACAAATAATTAACACACTCAATTCTTCCAACTGCCCAGTGAGGCAGGTACTACTAGCGGGCTGGTTTGCAGGTGAGAAGACAGAAATGTGGGAAAAAAGCTTCCTGCAGTTTATACACTTTGTCTAACTTGTACAAGTCTTGCATGAGGGCCTGACAGCAAAGGTGGAGATCGAATCCCCTCACGGATGTGGAGGGAGCAACAGGAAGGACACACATGCTCCAGGTAAGATGCCACAGGCCACACACTAGATGCTAGACTGTTATACCTTTTGTATAAGACTCGGGGAATCTGAACATGTATATTTGCTTTATATCTGCAAAAAGAAATGCTGCAGATCAACAATTAAATCCCCAGAGGTATCAGGAAGTGGCCTGGAAATGAAACTTCCCACCTTGTTATACAGCTTTCACATTGGAAGTATGTAATGTTTTACCAAATTGAAGACAAAGCCAAATCAAAAGAAAAAAGTACAGGGACTTCCCTGGTGGTAGAGTGGTTAAGAATCCGCCTGCCAATGCAGAGGACACGAGTTTGAGTCCTGGTCTGGGAAGATCCCACATGCTGCGGAGCAACTAAGCCCGTGCGCCACAACTACTGAGCCTGTACTCTAGAGCCTGCAAGCCTCAACTACTGAAGCCTGCGTGCCTAGAGCCCATGCTCCGCAATGAGAAGCCACCGCAATGAAAAGCCCGCGCGCCACAACAGAGAGTAGCCCCTGCTCACCACAACTAGAGAAAGCCCGCATGCAGCAACAAAGACCCAACGCAACCAAAAATAAAATTTAAAAAAGTACACTTCCTAAAAATGCAAAACCAACCAAACATATGAGCTGATATCAAGTTGGTGTCAGAATCATAGGGAAAAGAGTTCTTTTGATTGATCATTTTAGAAAACAAAAAGCAAACAAAACAAAAAAACCATATGTCCTTAGGGGAAGGGGTACATTTTAAGTACACACAGAGCTGTAAAGAAATTTTAAACTTCATTCCACATTTTGTTATTTGCTACTAATATTAGTGCTAATATTGGTCTGTTTATTCTGAAAGTATTTTAGAGTAATTATGCCAATGACATTAGAAGACAAGATATTCACAAAAGAGAGCAGATACATGTTTAAAATAAAAGTAAAACCCTGTAATTGGAAATATCAATGTGAAATTATGGGGTTTTGAGGTTGTTGTTTCAAAAACATATGACTCCTTAGCTCTGTTCACAAAAAAGCGTAGAAGCTGTGAGCAGCCCCACGCCCACACTGCAAGCCCCAAGTACCATTTCACCCTTGAAAAGGAACCAGGGCTCCTTAAAGTAACAGCTGATTCTGGGCCAAGATGCAAGCAAGCTACAAAAGACTAAGGGGTTGTGACAGGGGCCCCAAGGGGTCAGGAATGTGCCTGTGAGCAGCCACTGGGGACACATCAAAACGTACGGCTGCAAGGCCTGAAACTTGCTTGATGCAGAGCCATGCTCACAACACCACTCACAGGAAGAGAAGCAGCCTCACCCCACCCCCAGGCCCCGGCACTTGCCCCTGGGTACCAAGGGCAGCAATTCCACAAGACAGTCAGTACTCCTGACGGTCCCGAACAGGCTGTGTTTCAAGCAACCAAGTAGCACTGGTGGATGAAAGAAAACCTTTCCTGGCAAGACAATTCCATCTAATAAATGTGGAAGAAAAGCCAGAATTCAGGACAAGTACCAGTTTGCAACGCCCAGTTAAATGATGGAATCATCAGCTGATAAGTGGATGGGAAACTTCATAAAAGAGTCAGACTGTCACTCTTCCAACTCCTGATCAACTGTGGCCTTGTGGGAAAATCAAGACACCCAGAAATATACACAATATATACAAATGTGAGGCACCAACTCCAATGCCTTCTTGCTAACAAGACCCCTGCATACTGTGCTCTTTTGATCGAACACCTGGTTCACAAGAAATAAGGGGCAGGCAAGAGGGTTCACAAGAAATAAGGGGCAGGCAAGAGGGAGCCAGGGAATACTGTTGGTGGGAACACGCATGGTAAACACTCTGTTACTGAGGACTCAAAGGAAGAAAAGGAGCTGGTCAGAAAGCTCATGTCATCTTAGAGAATACAGATGTCATCAGGAACAGAATGCTGGGGAA